GTTTTGAAAATAGTTCAAAGAGGTGTTTGTTTGTGGAAGATGTTTTTGAAAGTTATTTTGAAAAGTGCCTTTGTAATGATTCTCGTCTTTACAAGAATGCGTACAAAGAGCTTTGTCTTTTGAAAATGTTTCAATTGAAAGTGTTGGTGTGAAAATGGCTTTTTTAGTTATGAGCAGGCAAGCAAATACGAGCGTCGTACCTACTCAAAAGGTATAACATTCTTTTCCTCCTCCTTTAGATGTTGCTATCTTACCATTGATTTGGTATAAAGCCCCGTCATTGGATGTGAAGGGACGGGCGTGGGTCATTTATATAGTCATAGAAGGCAACCTATGAGACATTTTTGCAATTGTCGTATAGGGACTAGATTGTTTACCGAAGGCAACATCATGGGTCATCGAGGGACTACGATCTTTTATCGAGGGTATTTGCTAAAACGCCCATATTCAAGGGACATGACTATTTTCCGAGGCAACAAGTAGGATTATCCTAGAGGTGCATGTGTGTGAATAATGTGTTTGATTTGCATGCATTTAGTCTTTGATTAAGGTGGTCTACTTGTTGTTTTTATCTTACCATACATCCTAATTACTAACATTTATATAAAACAATAAAAATGCAAAAAATAAATATCCTACACTATTACAACCATATTGAATAGCAAGAAGATGTAAAGACAAAACAAAATAAAAGAAGGGAAAATAAGTTTTTCGATCCAGGAAAAATACACCCTTCGATTCTTCTTTCCTGGGCTTATTTCGATTTGGGCCTAGTAGCCAGTGTGAGGTGCAGCCTTCGATTCAACCTTGTTCTGCTGCTTTCGATTGGGCCTGGAAGTCAGTGTGGACACCCTTCGTTTCTCCCTTCCTGCTCCTTCATTTGGACTGTGAAGCGATAAGGGGTAAAGCCTAAGGCTTCGATTCACACATCCTTCCTCATGTTTTCTATCGTTTGGGATTTAAATAGCAGCATGGCCTGAGGCCATACTAGTATTATTTCATGGCCAGGTTAGTTCTTAAAAAGTGTTTGACAGACAAAGAAAACAAACCAAAAGATTAGCAATGACAACAAACAAAGAAGGTGGAAACGAAAAAAAACTGAAGAGTAATGATGATGCTTGAAACGAAAGGAAATGACTATTCACATGTTATGCTAGAAACGAAAGGTTTAAAATTAAGAGAACTTACTTTTCTTGAGGACGGAATGTGTGTTTGGACTTAAACTTGCAGCCCTGGATGTTCTTAGATTCAAAGGAAAGAAAGAAGTTTGGTGTTTTTTTTACTAGATTCGAAGGTCAAGAAGAGTGGGGTTGTGTTTATTATTTCTGGATTCGAAGGAGAAGAATAGGTGTAGTATTCCTTCTGCTAGATTCGAAAGAAAGAACAAAACACGGGGTTGCTCATGGATTCTAAATGGAAAAGAAACAGGTGTTGTGTTTCTAGTGTTGGATTCCAAAGGGACAGAAACAAAGGTATGGTCTTTTGATTCGGGGTTTGATAATGTGTTTGATGATTTTCACACAATAAAAGTTTCCAGCTATCAAAAACCTCTAGATGTGTTGTCCATCCTTAGAGGTGTTATGGAGACTCTTATTTATAGGTGAAGTTGGCTGATATTTAGGAGGGAAAACAAAATAATTTGAACAAATTGGGTATATTGTTTTTGTAGCTTTCGAGGGGCAGTATTTGTATGCCAAATTGGTGCAAATATAGGAGCAGTGTAGCAGGACTTCTGTGCAGCAATTTTGGAGCGTTATAGCCAGTGCATCAGGCTTGGACTTACAACAAGCATCTTTGAATATTTCATCTTTTCGTTTTAACCTCATAGGTCCAACCCTCGACCAGACTCCTCTTCAGACAACAATATTTATTCCCAATCAAAGTGTCTTTCGAATGGGCTCTTTTTGTGCATCCTTCGAAGGGGCGAAATGTGTGCCCCTTTAATGGGTCACCAAAATATGTCCTTCGAATGGGACATCCATGTATGTATTGCAGGTCCTTCGAATGGGCTACCAAACATGTCCTTAGAATGGGACATCCAGGTATATCATGCAGGTCCTTCGAATGGGCTACCAAACATGTCCTTCGAATGGGACAACAATTGTGTGTCATAGTGTATGAATTATATGTTGAATATTTTCAAGGGTGGAATCGAAGCAAGCTATTTCAAAGGGAGATATTGTCCATTCAAAACTAGTACGAAAATAGCCAATGCATGAGGGAAGTTCCTTCCTTGTGATTTGAAACAAGCAAGAAAGAAGCCTTTTCTTCCTGGATCGAAACAAACACTGTAAGGGGCCATTGCTTTATGAATCAAAACAAACATGTAAGGGGTCATTGCTTCCATCGAAGCTTGCATACAGGAGGCCACTTGCTTTGTGGGTGCTAGCATGAAGGAAAGTCATTGCCTTGTGTAGGCAGGCATGCAGGAGGCCCTTGCCTTGTACCTCATGTATGAGGCCAATGCTGAAAGTGGATTCGAAGAAGATGCGAAGGTGAATTCAAAACAAGCATGAAGGGAGTTATTTGTCCAATCGAAGCTTGTCTAATTGAAACAGGTATGCAGGCATCAAATGTCCAATCGAAATAGGAATGCAGGCAACCATTGCATTGTGAACCAAGAAAACATGTAAGGCCAATAGTGCAATCGAAGCTTGCATGAAGAAGGTTAATGCCACAGGCACCAACACAATCATATAGGATGCAAAGGGTGCAATCAAAGGATGTATGCAGGAAGTCTAAATGCCCAAACGAGGCTTGTATAAAGATAGGCGTTTCCTGCCTTGGATCGAAGCTAGTTTCTTCGAAGGAAACCTTTTTCCTTGTGGATCGAAGCATGCAGAAGGAAGGAGTTACCTTATGGATCGAATGAGGCACAAAGGATGCTATTGTCTTATGGATCGAAGGAGGCATGAAGGAGACTAAAGTCCAATCAAAGCCTTATGAATCAAAGTAAACTTGTGTTTTCTCTAATTTTGTCAAAAAGATTATTTTTATCTGCTTTGCCCTTTTTTAACAGTTACCTCTTTAACTTGATGCTGGAAAATCCAATTGTAGTTGTGGAGACTTGAATTTTTAGAATCCTTGTGAGAAATGCCTTGAGAAATAAGAGGACAAATTTTGGGGTACAACACTTTAATTCTAGCCTTGTATTTAATTCACACCTCCTTTTACTAAGTTAGCATCATATTCTATGATTATACTCTATATTAGATTTTGTTTAATTAGTTTAATTTTTATGAGATTAATTAACTTTAGTTAATTCAATTAATTTTAAATAATTTAACTAGTATTAATTTAATTATTTTAGATTAATTAGTTTAGTTCTGTACTAATTATAAAAATACCAGAAAAAATTTCATGTACATAAATCAAACCTTATTTTTCAATCAAAATAATTACTTCTCATAACGCGATTTAATTCAAATTAGGATCCACTTCTTATCAACCAAAATCAATTACTTAGCCTAGCGCGATTTAATTCTAATAAGGATCAACTCCTTATCGAATCAAATCAATTATTTAGCTCAATGCGATTTAATTCTGATAAAGATCAACTCTTTATCAATCCAATCAATTTATTCGCCAAGCGCGATTGAATTCTAAAGAAGATCGACTCTTCTTCAACCAATCAAACCTAATTAAAACAGTTAACCAATAAAAAACTCAAGATTTTTTTTAATAAAAGATTGTTCAAAGTGCTTCTGAATCAAATTCTAAATTGCGTCTTGTCATATCCCAAATTTGCCCGCCCTCTATTTCTACGGTCAAAAATATTTTCAACATTGGTTTTATAATATTCTTTGATTTTTATAAATATTCATTTCCAAACCTATTTAAAAATATAATAACTTATTTCAAATCATTTGTATTTTTGAACAAACAAATACTTGCTCGTCTTCATGAATTTTCAATTGGTTTTTTATTTTGAATAAGTAACATAGCATAGTTGGTAAGGAATGAAGCTTGCAAATATGAACTTAGCATAATTGGTAAGGAATGAAACTTGCAAATATGAACATAGCATAGTTGGTAAGGAATGAAGCTTGCAAATATGAGGTTGGGGGTTCAAATCTTTTGTGTTGCACTTTTAACATTTGTTCTATTTTTTTGTTACTAATTCTCTTTCCTTTTTGGAGATTAGGCTTTTGACTTTTCATTCATTTTGGATAACTTACTTGCTAAGTTTTTTTAAACCTAATTCAGGTTTATAAATAGGACCCTTATTTGTCCTAAATTTTCATCAATAATTTCACAATTGCACTACACAACCACAATTTCACAATCATCCACGAAATTCATGAATTCTACGATCAAGCTTTCTTTTCAATTGGTGTTCTACGAGCTTTCTTTTTGTGTTTTCTATATTTACAATCTTGGCAAATGATTAAATATGAAGCCACCCTTTTAATTTTCAAATTTATTCTTTTTATTCTATTTCGATTACAGTTCTAACCATATGATGATATTACCTAATGATTGCTTATTTTCAAAACTTTATTTTCTATCAACAATTTTACTCTTTTCCTTGAGGTCAATTTCTAACCTACTGATGGTAGTTTATTTTTTTTAAATTATAATTCTATTAATTTTCGAGAAGCAACTTTTTCAGTAAAAATTCTCCATATACAGAAACCTTTTTTTATCACATACATACATTTGTACATGTTACACACATTCTCACTCTGTTTTTTTCTTTCAAAGTCAAAACTTCTTTTCTACTCATAGGCCATTCACACTCAAAATTAACCAATTTCTCACGTAGCTTTCACTGTAAATATTTTAATTCATTAACAATTAAGTTCATACAATGTATATTTACAAATTCACTATTTCAACTATTCCCAACCCATTTTAAACTACCAACCATTTTCAACAATTAAGCTCTTATTTCACCTCTAACCAAATTAAATTGTAAGTAGAATTTATTCATACTAATGATATCTCATCAATATTTTTATATAAAAAAAAAAAAAGAGAAAACATCATCAGATTCGAAACTATGGACAACAACAAAACAACACCATTCTTGCCACTGCGGATTCAAAATCGGACCACCACCGTCCTCCATATGCAGTCATCGTGGTTCTGTCACCGAACACATGACTTACGAACAAAGAGTGTCGACACCCTCTCCAATGATGCGCAACGACACACCAGTAACGAATCCGCACTGCATCTCGTCTCTCCGCCACACAGCCGCGAGAACGGCCACTGCATTGACCCTCCGACGAAACAAGACCACCGCAACTCCATTTTTCACGAACAAATCCGATGAGATCCCTGTATGTTTTCATGATGAATTATTTGGTTTTATTGTTTTATTTTTGTGAGCCACTTGTCTTTTATTCATTGGATGTGCCTTAAGTCTAAAAGTTGATTCAATTTTTACAAATTGGTGATAGTATCACCGCCTGCTTGTTACTGATGTTGTGTTTTTTTTTAATTTGTTATTATTTAGTTATTAAAGAATAATTAATTAAGATTGATTTGCATTTGGGCTTTCTAGCCCGTGATATTCTTTTTAGTTTCTAACTTCCCAACTTCAATTTATACCTCCATTAGTTCTATTTTATCTTATTGACTCATTCATTTTTTATTTAATTTTAATAATTATTCCGAAATACAAAGGCATATAAAAATATCAAAAATACAAAATAACAAATAATTAATTCAATATTTTACAAGGATATCAAAAACCACACAATTCACCAATGGGCGACACGTGGCCAACATCTGGCCACATGATGAGGAAGACTATATTAAACCTCTTCCGCATCCTTCATAACGAGCAATCCGTGACCAATATTTGGCCACGTGATAAGGAGAATTTATCAGACTCCCTCTGCTCTATGTCCTACCATACTCTTTAATCAAACATCAAAATAGCTAACCAGCATCAATTCTACATAATCTATAAAAAAACACCAACCAACTACAAACTATGAATTGAGACTTTAATTCCTCATAAGTGTATAAGTAAGCATACGACCAAAATCGTGGCGAATTCCCCTAATAAAAAAATAAAACCCTATTATCCTTGTGAACAAGGTAGATGAGGGGTGCCTAACACTTTCCCTTCGTCTAAGAACCATGCCATACATATACACACATGCCAACCATGCCATACATATACACACATGCCAACCATGCCAAACCATCACAATACACATAGTAACAACGTACAACAATGTCATTATGATTCAACAACCAAATCAGAAACACACATAAAACCCAAAAATCAAGTTACATGTTTGATCAAAAGGACCTTCAAAAACCATCATAGCATACATTTTTAATTCTCCAAAATTAAGCATAAATTATACATAATTCCATATCAATTAAAGAAAAATATAAAATTTAAACTCCCAGTTCACGCCAAGTGCGCTACCTCGCGCTAAGCGGGCTCATTACAGACCCGAGCATGCTAAGTGAGCTAATCCCGCACTGAGCGGGCTCTGCGATTCTTCCAAAAAAACTTGCGATGACAGCACAAACCCAATGTGATTTTCTTCACCCAAAATATGTTTTAGCATCCAATTTGTCAAGATTTAAGTTACTAAAACATGTATTCAACATATATTTATCAACACAAACATCACAACATAATCACATACCAATTCCATGGATCCTCAATCAAAACCTGAGTAATTTAAAACATGGAAAACTAGAGAAATCGATCCTAATACATGCCACTACCAATCATGAATTATCAACAAATCCAATAACCAAATAAAAACTCACCCTTACCTTGTTCTAAGTAGATTCCACAACTTTTGTGTTCTTGCCCTCTTTCTCGCTCTTCTCTTCTTTTCTCGTGAAAACTTTATCTTCTCTTTTTCTAATCCTTCCATTAATTCTTATTTCTTTTCTTTTTATTAAACCCTTACAAAACTAACTCAAATAACCACTAATGGGCTTACTAACACAACCCCCACCTTACTCTTAAAAAATTCATCACCAGGCCCAATTATTAATATTCTATTATTTCTATATAATTATCAAAAATAAAATGATTCTATCATCACCAACATTATTCTTAATGCTAACCTAATTGTTCGGCGGTTTCTCCCCAACTAACATGTCACATACAACACACATCGAATAATCATTTATTCACAAAATAAAACAAATAATTAATTAACAAAATAATAGCTAAATAGAAAATTGAGGTGTTACACCTCTCCCCCACTAAAAAGATTTTCACCCTCGAAAATTACCTCAAACGAATAGACCAAGATATGACTCCCTCATCTGACTCTCGAGCTCCCAAGTCAAGTTTTTGCCCGCCGGTTCTCCCCAAGCTACCTTCACTAAGGCAATCTCTTTACCTCGAAGCTACTTCAACTCCCGATCCTCTATCCTCATAGGTGATGTCTCCACAGTCAGGTTGTCTCTCACATGCACATCGTCTACTTGGACCATATAAGACGAACCCACAATATATTTCCTCAATTGAGATACATGGAACACATCATAGAGATTAGCAAGCAACACTGATAAAGTAATCGGATAGGCCATATCTCCTATCTTCTCTGAAATATCGTATGGACCAATAAAATGTGGCGTCAACTTACACGACTTCAATGCTCAACCAACACCAGTTACCATAGTAAATCTCAAAAACACATGATCATCCTTTTGGAATTCAAGTGCTTTCCTCCTCTTCTCACGATAATTCTTCTTACGACTCTGAGAAATCTTCATCATCTTCTGAATCACCTTAATCATATCAGTAGTCAAGTGAACTATCCCAGGTCCAACCGCATCTCTCTCTCTCTCTCTCTCTCTCTCTCTCTCTCTCTCTCTCTCTCTCTCTCTCTCTCTCTCTCTCTCTTTCGACTCATACCAACACAATGGCGTCCTACACCTTCTACCATCTAATGCTTCATACGGTGCCATTTTGATACTCGAATGGAAAATTTTGTTGTAAGTAAATTCAATTAAAGGAAAATAGATATCCCAAGAACCTCATTTTTCAAACACAAAAGCTCTCAAAAGATCTTCAAGTGATTGAATCATCCTCTCAGTCTGTCCATCTGTCTGCGGATGATAAGCAGAACTCAAATACAAATTCGTACCCAAGGCACTTTGCAAACCCTCCCAGAATCTTAAAGTAAATCACGGATACCTATCTAACACAATACTAGACGGATTACCATGCAAACTGATAATCCTCTTAATGTACAACTTTGCTATCTTCTCTAATGGATAATCCATTCTCATTCGAATAAAGTGAGCAGATTTAGTCAATCTATCCATAATAACCCAAATAACCTCAAAATTCTTCAGTGTTCAGGGTAAATAGGACATAAAATCCATCTTTATACTATCCAATTTCCACTCAGGAATAGATAACGGTTGCATCAAACCCGACCGTTTCTGATGTTCGATCTTAGACTTCTAACAAGTAAAAAAATAATACACAAACTCCACAATTTCTTTCTTCATACCGGACCACCAAATTTTTTTCCTCAAATCTTGATACATCTTCATTGCACCAGGATGAATACTCAATTCACTATGATGCTCTTTGTAGCAGTAGAAATGTTGAGACTAAGCCATTAGATTGACTTGACTTGCACAAATCAACATAAAAATCGCCATCGCGCTTTATTTGTTCCAAATGAATGGGAAAAGAGTGAATAACCCAAAAAGAGGGGGAGAGAATCTAAGTTCGGGGGTTGGTTATGAAAAGGGAAGGTATTAGCATCCTAAACATCTACGGTACTCCGTATGAATCTCTTTGTAAATATGTGCCTTTTGGCTATAAGAGTTGTATAAATGTAGATTGTAGGGATGGTAAAAGAAATATTTTTTACAATTTTTTCACCCGTCGCGGTTGCAAACCTTTAGTGCCTACGTACCACCTTCCGTGCAATAGGGGATCATGGTACTCGTAGTTCACCTTTAAAAATTTTAAAACACAAGTGTGTTGATTAATTTTAAGAGACAAGAAATCATTGTCTTATTCGAGTGGAAAACATACTTACTACCCACGATCATGAGAAAGGAGAATTTGCATCATCTCAAAGTGGAGGATATAGCTTAGAGTTTAAAAATCAACAAAGCCTCACTCAACACCCAAGTGGAAAATATCCCATTTCACTACATATCGTAGAAGTATAGTATTTCGCATCACTTAAAGGATTGACAATTGTTGTACCCCAAAATTTGCCCTCTCATATTCATCAAGAATTGCCAAGTCAAGGTCACAAAATTCCCCCAGGGTTGTGCAGCTCAACTGTCTCCTATACAGTCAAAACTAGGGTTTGAGTTCTGGTCAAGCAAATGAACTTTTCAAAGGCCCAATCAAGTCTCATATGCCTACAAAGATGGTCAAGTGTCTTCATGTCAAGTTTCAAGGCATTCAGCTCAAGATTGCACAGTCAAAACCCTAGATTGCACTACAGTCAACTGTAGGGGCAAAATGGTCATTTGGCAGTCAAAAGTTCAAATTTTTGGTCAACATATCATTTTGAAGCCACAAACATCATTTGATCAATGCTTGATCATGATTTTCAAAATTTGGCTCAGAAATCATCAAAGATGCAAAAGTTGCTATATTTGGACAGCTGAAAAAGTCAACTGAAATTGACCAGGGCATAACTTTCACATGGATTATCAGAAAAATTCCATCCAAAGCTCATTTTGAAGAGAAAGACATTTCCTACAATTCATCTTCATGTTCCAAGTCCAAGAAATGCTCTTACAAAAAGTTATCAATTTCAACATTATAGGTCATTTTCAAAAGTCAACAAAAAGTGACTTTAAGTCAAAGGCCATAACTTGAGATTGGTAAATCAAAATGACATGGGACCAAAGGCATTGGTTAAAGGACTCAAAGACCTTTCCAAAATGTCCAAGAACATGTGAAAAGCTTAAAAATTGACCAAGTTATGCCTTGTGGAAGTTGGGAAATTTTTGGAAATTTTTGAAAGTCAACAAGGATGCAAAAGGCCTAAAAATGCAAATGGGCCCAATTATCTTCCAAATTTCTTCATGCCAAGCCTATGCACGACCATTAGGCCCAAAGGGAAGTATTCTCATATTTTTTAATTATTTATTTGAATTAATATTAATTTATATTCATTTAAATGATTTTAATATATGAAAAATATCAAACTAACCTAAAAAAATCTTTTCATGCACATTATAAACTCAATATTTCGTGCAAGTCTTAAATAGGCAAATTTGGATGAGATTGGATCATGATTGAACAAAAACAACATGAAAAAGATATGAAAAAAGATTTTCCAAAATCAAATATTGAAATTCATCAATGCATAAGATTTTG